TACAAATAAATTAACAAATAAATTTATTGAACGACATAACATAAATGTTAAAACAATGACAATTAACATTGTTGTTATACGTATATCAGCTTTCATACGATGACCTAAACGTCTTTCTTTCTTCTTTTTCCCTTAAAATAGATATATTGCAAACCTAGCTTGTTAGTCTTAGAATAAAGTAATACCCATTGTCTCCTTCTTTTATTTTATTCAGATGCAAATAAGAAAAAGAAGAGGAAGGAGAAATGATGACAAGTATGACTACGTGTCTAATTAGTTCCGTAGAAAGATAAATATAGGAGAGATTTTTTTTCTTTGAAAACTAAAACCAGAATTTAATTTGATGGTTTTACTTTTTCTAGAGCAACTTCTTGTTCATATGAACTATTATGAATACCGATGACGATTGATGTCGCTCAATTGTTCTTCAGAGCCGAAATTAATCGATGCCACTACAGTTTCAATAAAATATGTAGTCGGTGGATGGCTTACATTACTTTTTTGTGTATCTGGTAAGATAAATAAGAAAAAAAAATAAAAAAAAAAAAGTATATTTTTCTAATCTTTAGGTATTGTTACCAATATTTTCACGGTTGTTGTTCTATCACATCCGCGCATGCGAAATAGTTCGACACATGTTTATCTAATGGCATTATCTGCATGTAATATATTTCTTTTGGCTGGTCTTATGATTAATTATTCATTAAAATCTATTGGTAAAAACAATTTCGAATTTTATTTATTAATAAACTAATATATTATTTTGTTTTCATTAAATAGCTTCCTATCCTCAATTATTAGCATATTTACGTCGACCGGATCCAATTAATCGAAATGCTTTATTAGCTAATGCTTATGAACAATTCTATGCACATGTTGCACCATTTACAACACCATTATTATCAATGCTTTTACTTTCAAGTACTTATTTAACTGTTCTACTTAGTGGTGACCGCTATTTTTTAATTTGTTGGCCATTAATAGCAGAAAAAATTCGTACACGTAGAATGGCTTTACGCTTAGTATTACTTGTTTTTATACTTGTTAATCTTTATATACTACCACATTGGTTTGAATATCGTACAGCAGTAAGACCTGTAAAATCAATGCATTCAATGACAAATCTTACACTGAATAATAGTGAAACAAAATCTAAAATAAAAAGAGCAGATAAACTTGTTGAATTAACATATACAAGTCTTGGATCCAATGCAATATATTTATCAATTTATCGTTTTTATTTAAATGTTCCTATAACATTTGTTATACCATTTACATTATTAACATTGTGTAATGGTAGTATGATTCATCAATTGTTATTAATAAGAAAGAAAAAAAGACGTTTAGGTCATCGTATGAAAGCTGATATACGTATAACAACAATGTTAATTGTCATTGTTTTAACATTTATGTTATGTCGTTCAATAAATTTATTTGTTAATTTATTTGTACAGTTATCACCATGTTTAAATCAAAATTCACTTCAACGTTTTAATACATTTGCAAATTTATTAATTGCATTTAATGGTTTTGTTAATTTCTTTTTATTTGCTGTATTTGGACAACGTTTTCGTGAAATGGTTTTATATATATTTTTTCGACGTGGACAATATCCTTTCTTAGCTGCATTAGATGGTATAAGTGGACATCGAATTGGTGGTCTATCTGGAGGAGTACCGATAATAGATGGTGCACGCAGAACATCAAGACGTTTTTCAGCGAATGATTCAGATATTTGGACAGCTATAACACGTCGACGTTCATCAGCAACAATGGCTGTCTTATTTAATCCATCAGATAATCGACCAAGATCAGCATCCCATTCATTGGTAGATTCAACACATTTGCACATTCCAACATATACAAATGGTGATAGACAAAATACATCAAATTCATCAATTAATGGAACTGAATCACCTTTTTCAAATTCATCTTATCAACAATTATCATCGAATCATAATGATAATAATATCACATTATCTAATCATTTAACTGTACCGGATGATTATCGTCTAAAAAGTTCAACTCCAAGTTGTATGAAAAAGAAAACCGATGATTCGACACCAGCAGTAGTACATCGCGTCAAATTCGTTTAAGAAGATTCTTTTGTTTTTCTTTTATTAAACATATAACAAAACTATGTATTATAAAAAAAAAGAAATATATTTATATAAAGATTGAAAGAGATAATAATTGACCTGCTTCTAAGACACTTGACATTCAAGCGTACGACATGATTACAAATTATAGAAAGACACATGAAAATATCATGAGATACTATTTTTATCATAAAATATAATCTTTATGTACAATGAGATATACTTTTATTCTATGAATGACTAGATTTATATAATTGAAATAAGAATTAGATCAAAAGTTTAATATTCTTCAATATGAATATTTTATAATAATTAGAAAAATGAACCGATATCAAATCGTCATATTTTTCAAGAATGTCAAATCTTTTAATCAACTAACGAAGGAATATTTCTAAATGTCAAGTCATTTTTGAGTCGAGAATATGTGCGTATTATATAGGCTCTAATGAGCTATGAGTAATACTTTGAAAAAAGTGCTCAAGCTAATTGCTTATTACTACTGACATACTGTATCTTCCGTAGAATGCCGTGGTCTCCCTCAGGAACACAAGAAAAACTGAATTTCGACTTGAAACTTTGCATAGATATAAGGATTAATGAACATTAATTATTTGATTCATTCTATTCTGAAATAAGAATATCGAAATTTATCGTTATAATTATATGAGTGGGCGTTAGAAAATATGCTTTTACCATAGTCTTGTCTTATAATTGAAGCAATCAAAAGATCTGAAATTTTTACAATAAATTATTCGTATTAAGGCATGTCTCTATGCAAAGTATCAAGTCGTAATTCGAAAATAATTGCTTCTGGTATTTTTGAGGAGGATCACGGCATTTTGCTAAAAATATACTCTGTCTGCAGTAATAAGTTATTAGTCTGAACTCTTTTCACAGTATTCATAACGCATAAAAATCTAGATGATGCACATAGTTCCAATTTAACGGCAAGTTGACTCCTATCAGAAACGTTCCTTCGTATGGTAAAAAAACTTATTGAACTTTTTATTGAATCTTCTTTTGAGGTTTAACAAAGTGAGTATTAAACATTCATTTGACCCGATATATTGATTTCACATTTACACAATGTAAGTGTTGAGTCTAATTGTTTTATGATAAAAACAAAAACAAAAAAACATTAATTTCCAAGATGTTTATGCTTTCAGGGAAATAATATCTTCATGATAAAAAAGTTAATAAAACGAATTTGTGAAAATTTTCAGTATGATATGCTAGTAGCAAGAAAATCCAATTCATTAGTTGTTATAACAATAACAATATAGAAATTTTATTTTTTTTTTCTTTTCATTGTAAAAAGAAAACAAAACAACCAAATAATTAAACACAGAATTTAATGTTTAACATTTAAACCTGTCCATCGACCAAATTTTTCATACTCAAGTCGTTGATTATCGTTCAATTCTTCTGAATAACGTTCGACAACTTTTCTATCACTACAAAAAAAATTATCAAAATAATTAATATTAAATTAACAAAAAAAACAATAAAGAAGCAATTCTCTTACGGAATATATTTAAATGCTTCAACCCAAGAACCAGTATGTTTTAATGTCATTAGAATATTATACATTTGATCGATTGTTAATGTTTTACCACTACCGCCACCAAATCTAATGTGAATAATGTATTTAAAAAACAAAGCAACATTTTCATTAAACAAGACATACTTCACATATCGATCGATAGGAAGTCGTTGATGTTTGATGTTATCACGTTTTGCTTTACCAAATGTTAATGGTTTTTTACCACCTATTAATACACAACGGAGAAAATTATTCAATATTATTGCATTAAAATTGGCAATAGTTAGGTTAAAAAATATATATATATATATGATAAAGAATAGCTATTAAATGAAGCTTTTTAACTGACGAAGGAAGATCCCTAAGTGTGACTCTCCAGTACAGCTGATATTATGCCTATAGGTAAGCCCTGATGAGATTAATAGAAGCTTATAGGAGTTCTTTCCCATAAGCTGTATCTTTCAAGTTATTACAATTGCTTATCTTTGGCAAGATATTCACGAAAAAATTGTATTACAAAATGTCATCAAAAACGAATATATTCTTCATGAAATATTCAGTATCCAACAACAATCATATGTTACAAGGAAATATAAGAAAGCTCATTGTTTTCAATATTCGATATGTCAAGAACAACACATCCCTTTATCATGACATTTTCAACGTATTCGAACATTTACGACACCTATCTATAGACGAAATTCAGTATAATTGTAATAAGTTGGAAAGAACACCGCTGAGGAACGGACAGACTCTTGTTAAGGAATTGCGGATCCTACTAGATTCCGGCGTCTGAACTCACAATAGCGTGGACCTGCAGCTTCCTAGCTCTTATACGTTTTTATTAGTTTCGTTGGGATCTACTTATGAGCACAATATCAGTTTCATGATTGAATCACACATGAAAATCTACTTTCAGAAGTTGGGTACGAAAGTCTTTTAGATACTCGATTCAAATTGAACTGGAGAACGGTTTTAACGATAAATTCGATTAAGTATAAACATAATTTTAAATTTATTAATACTCGTCAGTTATTGACATTCTTTATTTCTCAACAAACAAAGAAATAGGTTTTAAGAATTGGACCTGGTTATTTTTAGAAATTGTTATCAATTTCTTTTTATTATTATCTTTATTGTAAATTTATTAATTGAAACCACAGGCTAATTTTATACATCGATAGAGAGCCTTCTCAAAATGAAAATATAAATCGAATTTGGTAAATTTGCTTCTAGATTTTCTCCAATTCTTCTTTTTGAATATTTATCTATTGATTTCTCGAGTGATGCTATGCATCATCAACGTTTCATTTTATCTTTACAGCTTAAAGAAAAATAATTTCAGTTCCTATAAAATATACATTTATTTAATTACTATCAAATCTATCAGGTACAAAAAAACAAAAAACAATTTCATTCCGCCCTCCTCCCCCTAACAATTGTTCACTTCTGTCATGTTCATTAAAATTAAGATAAACGCATGGGTGGAGTAGTTGAGTTCGAGTTTTTCATAAACAATATGATTTTTTAGTTTGACATGTCATGTTTTCCAAACTTTTTGGATAACTTCCGTCATCCTATGCTTGAAAAATATTGGTTTTTATAAAAAAAAAGCGGAAAATCTTTTTTTTATCTCCATATTTTTCTGATTGCGCCCCCTAAATTTCTCGAAGGAGCTTCATTATAACTAACTTGTCTTTTATTTTTGTTTGAAAGAGCGTGTGTAACATAGTTCGTGCTGTAAATTAAGCTTTTTTTTTTTATTATTGTCTAAAAAAGTATTTATAAAATAAATGACCTTTTTCTGAGAGTTTCTTGACATATTGACCTTATCATCTTTTGCTTCCCATAAAAAGAAAGGAATTTAACAAAATGATTCTGTCATGCACTTCAATCTGACATATTCTTTCAGTTAAAAGAAACAATTAACTATATTGATTAAAGGCTCACAGAGAATTTCAGATTGTCAAATGAGCTACTTCTAAGTGTCCTGCAACTGAATTGAGTATCCGGCCATTAATGAGACCTTGACACTTCACAAAATATTTTTACTTTTTCAAACTGCTAATTTATGTTAAAAGCATAGGAATGAAAACCTGAGCAATTTATTGTACGTGAGAACATATCACAGATATGGAAAACGATATTGTTTTACTAAGATAATTCATTTACAGATGATAAAGAACCATATGATGAAGTAATTGAATACATGGAGAGGAAAATGAACTGTCAAAACGATGAACATGCATTAGAGCATTCATGTATATTCTTAGAAATATGACGTTCGACATCAACATATCGCCATCTGCAATAAGCAAATATTGACGTTCCAAAACTGATCGAACTTTTCTTTTGTGAAATTTATGATGATCTCTTCTTTTGTTACTGTTCATGAACGAAACTTCACAGTATACTTTTTCATATAAAGCAAAAGTTTGAAAACTGTGCTAGGACTGTGAAAGTACATACCGGACGTTGATTAGCTCTAGTCCAGGACAGGCTCGACTATTAAAAAAAATGCCCATTCAGATCCCACTGTGAAAAGTTGTATCTGTGTAGGACACTGCTATCTTTTACCCTTATTTATAAGAGGCGGTGGCGGGGGGGGGGGAGGCAGAAGGCTCAGTAATTCGTTATAAAAGTACCTACTAAGATCAATAATTCCACCAATAATATAAACAGCATCATGATCAAATGATGTCATTTCAACATTTGAATCTGGTGATAAATAAATAAGTTTTTCATGTGGAAATATATCTAAATAACTTGATTCTGTTGCTTCAAAACATAAATTATCTAATGGTGATCGACGATCAAATTCTGCTTTTAATCGTCCTTGTTGAGATAAATTACATAAATAAACAAATGATGGTGAATGATAACGATGAATTTCAGCAAATAAATATTGTATTTGATCAACTAAATTTAATAAATAATGTTCACGTGCATGTTCATGTTCAAAACCACAATCAATAACAATCATTTCACCAAGACATGCAGGTGCAAGGAATAGTTGTTCACGTAAACGTTTTTCATGTTGTCGACCTAAGTGACGAAATATTGATGAATAACCAGGATAATTTGTTGGTGGTTTTCCTTCTGCAAGTAATTCTTGACGACGTTTTGCTGCTTCAATACGACGAAGATTATTTTCAGCAACATTAGCCGCACGACGTTTACGATACATTTCACGAAGAAAAAGATATCTTAATAAAGAAAAAACAATAAAAAATTTTCGTTTATAAGATTTGAATTGATTATTTTAACTTACCCATATAGACTTTTTCGAGATTCAATTAAAGGTGTATTTATTAATTCAGTCAATCGTTCATTAGGTATAATTTCTGGTACACGATCACCACTTTCACGTAATGTTTGAATTTCTACAATATCAAAATCAAGATAATATATAGAAAAACAATTAATTTACCTATTTCAATAACACGTCGTCGTTGTTCTTCGGTGAGATCTGAAAAACTTTTTCGGTCACGTAAATATGCCCATAACCATTCATTATTATCATCTGTTGAGTTTTTTGTTGATTTAGAATCAGATTCATTTGATGTATTATTTTGTTGATTAATTTCATTTTTGGATGATACTTCGAATGATAAATTTGATAGAAAACATCGAGAATTATTTAATATGAAACTATTCTGATATTTTAAAACTATTGATGTAAAAATACGTGATAATAACATCTTTTAAAGTTACTTTGTAAAGCAATAGTAAGATCTACAATTTACCATGAGATGATCATTTACTATCGTATAGAATTCAATGTAAACAGAGGTCGCACATTTTCATCTTAGTAATAAAATATTCTTTTTCATTAAAATTCGTTTCAGGAATGATCAACATGGATATCGATCATTGAAAATATGATAAGAGACAAGAATGTTTGTTACATCACGATTATTACCTTTTTTTCTATAAGTTAATTAAATGCTCTTGGAGAAAAATATAATTCTATTATACTATCACCTCAGGGTGTTCACAGTTGGTACTTAGTAGCTTACAATTAAACAGGATATGCATAGACTTTATTATAGATTTTTTAAATTATATTTTTTTATTATTACGTAAAAATAAACAAATTCAATGTTCTTATTTTCAGTCAATGTACACTCAAATTCAACTGATCATTCACATGAGAACAAAATTTATTACGATTATTAGTTTTTTGCTTTTCTTTGTTTAATCAAATTTAATATTTATTTGATCCCTAATGTTCGAACATTTGTTTTTTTTGTTTTCTTTTTTTCCTTGTATAAAAATTCTTTTCCAATTCAATAGAAATAGAAAAAAAAAACAATTGAATCAATATTTTTCTATCTGATCAGAAACAAGACAAGATAACATCTTTGCATGCACATTTGTTCATTTATCAATAGCAGATGAACATGTGTTGAATGAGGATAGAAAAATAGATAAATGGCATGGTTCATTTATAATTGAACTAAAAGAAGAAGAACCATCTTTATTCTTTTATATTTAAAGTTCATCATGCCCTTTTCATAACGTCAAACAAATTGATTGTTGAAATTATATCGATATATCTTTTCGTTTACGTCAATATCAAGATAATACCAAATGATTGTATGTGTAATAGTGTGAAGCAATCGACAGTTAAGATCAGCAAGCAGGCTGTGATATGACTTTAAGTTTATCTCAACATTTCACAGACTGTTTACTGATAGGAACTGCCTTCATTTGTAATTTTCGTTTGTTACGATTGCAAATAATATGAAGATAATATGTTGACACAACAAAAAAATTATATATACTATAATAAATTAGAAATTAAATTAATGATAAATATATATATATATTGATGAAAGAATATTTCCTAATATATAATTTTTTTCTTTTTACCTTGATAAGATATGATGTATGTTCGCTTCATGTCAACAAAGCAAGACTGTGATATGATTTCGATTTTCACATAGCACGATCTCTTTGCTGACACAAATTCAGATGATTAAGTGTCCAAAAAAAAAAAAAGGATGATAGAAAGAAGAATTATAAGCTTGTAGATTCTACAATGTTTACGGTGATGTAGCGAATACAGCAATAAATGAGAGAGAGAATAGAAAGGCTTTTTTTTTCTCTAATCATCTTCACTTTTCATGTGTTAATGATTGATGTCGAATGACAAACACATTCGCTTGGGCGCTTTTTTCTATACTCATCTTCTTTTCTTTTCTTTTCTACTATCTAGAAAAAAAAAAGGAAAAGACAACTTGGAATACTCTCCTTTCTAATAATGATTTGTTCACTATAAAAAATCGATTGTTATTTCTGTTCTATACCTTCCATTTGCTTTGAAGAGAGAATCTTCCGTTTTTTTTTGTGTGCCCCATTTTTCTTCTTTCTTCTTTCTTTTTTTCTTCTCTTTTCGCTAATACTTAACAATAGTAAAAGATCGAATGACAGACGCATGCGTTTACATAGATCTTTTATGATATATGAACAATAAAAAAAAAAAAAAAAGAAAACGAATAGACAAAAGATAATATTGAAAGAAAAATTTTCATTATTTTTAATTGATTGATTTTTTTAAAAAACATCTGGAAAGAAAAATTTAAATATATTTACTCACCCATGAAATCGTTTACAATTAACATACGGATTTGTAAATCTTATCCATTTTCTTGTTACCTAGACTATTATTGCTGTACTAATACTACTGCTTCTCATCAAGACAGAGGCCAACTAAATGATGTGATGATGCGCTCGCGTTGTCGACTGCAATGTTCTGCTCTCTCCCTCTCTGTTTCTCTCTCTCTTTTTCGATCGTCGATCCTTTGTTCTCCCTCGATACAAAAATAGATAGATAGATGCAGAACATGCATGGATGCCAGTTTTTTTTCCCGTTTCTTCTTTCTCTCTCTCTCTTCTTCTTCTTTTCTTTTCTTATTCATATTATTATTGACCTATTCGCACCCGGCACACGATCAAGAAAAGAGAAGAGGACGTTTGCTAGCCTGGGATTAATGATGTAGTCGAAATTGTTTTTATACATGCTCGAGAGATATATAGAGATAGATGGTTGAATAGAAGAAAAGAATAATTTAGTATGCTTATTTGTTTGTACACGCATATATATTTCTTGTTTTCACATGTTCGTCTTCATCTTTTTCTTCCATCACTTGATGCTAGTAACATTTACACCCGAAACAGGACGCGTCCATTTCGACTACGCAGATAGAAATAAAGAAGAAAGAGAGACAGAGAGAGAGAGAGAGAGGGGGGAAAGAATCGAATTTTCTCTTGCTACCAATGGCCCTATCAACACAAAACATAAAGAAAAGCAATACTAATGTGTAGCACTAGAAAAGAAGAAAAAAAAGAAAGAAAAAAATGAGAGAAGAAAAAAAAGAGAGCAGCATGCAAAAGCAGAAGCAATACTACTGAGTATTTTGACAAGAAAATTGGACTAGAGGATGATGGCACGCCAATACCATTGGCAGAACGGGTCTATTAGGAAAAATACAAAATATGTGTTATTGCATGCACGCGTCGACGTTCTGTTACTACATTCATATACTCTTCTGAAAAACCGATGACGACAACGACGACAAAACTCATATCTTGGGGAAAAGAAATAAAAAAAAAAAGGAGACAGACTGTTTTATTCTTTTACTACTGCTACTAACACCACCCATAATAATAATAATCATCATCATCATCATCATCAACAACGTCTTTGCTGTATCCGAAAAGCTGATGAAAATGGAAAAATGAGAGAAAAAAGAAAGAATGATGATGGCGCCTGCGCCCACTCTCTCTATCTCTTTCATTGACGATTGAGTTGAACAGTCAGTATCATTATCAATCAGCATTATACACTTAAGAAAATGAGTGATGATGTACGCCTGTAGATGCGCTTGAATAGAATTGAACATTTCCATACGTTTTATTTTGCTTCATATCAAACGCAGATAGATACATTTATATTTATACATACCAAGAAAATAAGAAAAAGAAAAGCATGCGACAAAAAACAAAAAACGAAAATGGCAAATAAAATATAAAACAAACATTTTTCAAATAAATTCTTATTTGATAACATTCAAATGCTTGTACATCATTAGATTTTCATACAAGATTATCATTAAGGACAAAAAAATATCAAATAGAAATTATTCGAATAAATGTAGTTCAATTGATTTCTAGTATATCAAAGCTAGAAATCGTTCTTTAACCTCATCCACCAGCCATTGGTGCACAACCGGGACCTATTTATTAATAAAAGAGAAAAAAAAATAGATGAAAATAAATCATTATTAATAACACAATATTATTATTATTATTATGTTTTTTCTTTACCTCCACCTGTACCACCAAATCCACCCATACGTCGTCTTGGTCGTGCATCAGGAGGTCTGAAAGAGAGAAAAAAGAAACCACTTTTTTAGTGCGTGTTTAATAATTGAAAAAAAAAACTAAACACTATGCAAAATTTGTCATACATGACTTGTTGAGCATCTATTTCCGTACGCATCCATTCTTTTATAAAAAGAAAAAACAAGAATCATGCACGCAATCTTACCGATCGAATCGACCACCTCTACCGCCACCGCCACCGCCGCCACCACCACCAGTGCCACCGGTGCGATAATTAGTTGATTCCATATTTCTTCCATGTTTAGTCAAAGTTGGCTAAAAACAAAATTATAAATAATTAAACGTTTATATATAGAATAAATTTTAACATACATCAACCAATGAACGAAAACTAAATATCAAAAACAAATAAATAAATAAATGTCAATGAAACAAAAAAGTTTTCTTACAATAATGTAATAAAATTGAAAAATGACATAATTAAATAATAAAATCCACTTGGTGTCCATATTGGTCGTTGTTCACGAACCGAGCCTAAATAAATAAATATATGCGCATCAAGTATTATATTCAAGCAACTTGATCTCTTTGTAAATTTTAGTTTTTATTTACAGTCTACTATTAGCAAAGAGAAAAAAAAGAAGACGGGAATTTATACCGGAAATAAGACACGATTATAGTGTGACAATTGATTCTCTTTTTTTTTTCTTATTTTCTAATCCGATAATCAATAATGCACAATGACAGATGAAGGTGACAAGAATACGCCTGTTTTTTTTTTCTCTATATTTACCAGTGTTGTCGACGTAGACCATTATGTGAATATTTGTATATAAATTAAATCTAAAAACAATCATCCCAATAAAAATAACACCCAAGACAGAAAAACAAAAGAAAAAGTTATTATGCTAAGTAAAAAAAAAAAAAAAAGAACAATAACAAATAGTTCCTATAATCGAATAATTAATGAAAACTAATATAACAATAGATGTCTTGTAGATTAGAGTAAGATATTTTGTCTTCACTTCAGCCCAATTTTGTTTTTCTTTTCTATAGTTCGACTTTATCGGTTGAACCACTGGAAAATAAAAAAACGAAATGTAAGAAATGAAAATCATAATGAATGTATTTACATTAAAAATTGTAAAAGAGCTTTTTCATCTCGATTACCATGATATTCGGATGAGAATTGACCATTTCTATTTGAATGAATACAAAAGAAAAAATTAAGATTAAGATTAAGATTAACACGCTTACTCGAAGTATAAAACTAAAATGATACAAAAAAGTATGTAAAAATTCTTAATGATAAATATTTATATTAATAACTTACATGTTGGAAAACCTTTTATTGAATATTTATTACCCAGATCTCTATGAGCCGGTACATCAACAGCACCAAGAATAATATCCTAACAAATAAAATCATTAGTATAAGTTCAAGTTTCTAAGATATTGAAAATTTTCTTTTGAATCAACTGATAAATTAATATGAAGAATAATTAAGTGTGAGTCGAAAATTTTTGAAACAAAAATATTTGTATATTTTTACTTCATTCTTTTGAAAATATTTCCAATGAGACAAAATTTCGCAAGATTTTTAAAAAAAAGTCAGAATAAATAGTGAATCAACAGGTGTTTTCTTAGTGAACTTTGTCAAATGCTTCTTTCTTTCTAAAATGATTTTTTGTTTAGAAAAACTACAATAGTACATTTTGTGGGATAAATTTTCTGCTTTATAACCGGATATATAATTTTTTTTACTTCCGATTCGCATTAGTGAAACAAAAAGAAAACAAATTTATACAAAAACTTTTCCATAAAAGCCTTTCAAAGATTATGTCATTCGTCTCGAACAAATGTCGATCGTCTGCCATGTTGATCCATTGAATGTATTTCGGGTTATTTTGACATGACACTTACAAATGTATCTGAAATTCCAATCTTTACTAATCAATATAATCTCTATCAATGATTTGCATCAGTTCTACACGCATGAGAAAATCATAATGATGGAATTCTAACATTGCATGAACATTTTCACAATTCCAATTATTTCTTTTATGCTTGTCTTCTTTTTATACGAAAAATTACAAAATCAAAAAAGAAACTCATCATCAATAAGCAAGTTTACATTTGGGTACTATCATATAGTATTACTAGAGATGCATCGGCTGTAGACAGAGAGAGTTGCACTAGTTTCGACATACGAATATAGTCTTATTTCAAGATATGAATAAACCCTGAGAACTAATTCTTTTTCGGACTTAAGTATTTCGACAAATTTCTGACAATTTTGGATTTCCGGACTCCAAAAATCTGCAATCTATTTTTATAAAATTTAGCTATTTTCTTGAAATCGTCTTCCCGATCGAAAGAATTGCAATCAATCCAAGACTATCATAGTTTTATCTTACGTTTGCCGTCTTCATCTTTATTTTATACGTACATATTTAGAACAGTGCAAAAGCCGCACGTAAGATCGAAGCACTGGTAAACCGAAGCCATCGCCCAGGGCGATTATTTCGGTAGTCAGAAACAGCATATTACTACATCAATTTTCATCGTTTTCTCAAACTTGGGCGAGAGTACGGTGTGCAAGTGGGCAACGCACCGTTGCATCTCTTAGTATTACTAAATAAAAAATAGAGATGCGTTCAAATAAGGTTATTCCATAGTTCTATTCAACAGCTTCTTAATCAAAAGAAAAACATCTACTTAAATATAGTATACTTCACATAACATTATGAACAAAAGAATACTTCAATGATCGTCACTAACTAATAAGAAAAATTTTATGCGATTATTTATCATAATTACCTGATGTGTTGAAGCGATTTGAGCTGCAGCAGATGCAAAAGCAGGTTTTGAATCTTTACAATGTCCACACCATGGTGCATAGAACATAACTAATGCTTTACGAGATGCACCAATAATTGAATCAAATATACTTGATTCAAGCATATGAACATGTTCATAACCAGGTGCTGCATCTTTCCAAAAATCAATGGGATTCGCTGTTGGTGGTGTAGGTTTAGGTTTATTCATTTGTTCTTCTGGATTAGTCATAAATTCAACAAAAGCTTCTTCCTTAATTATATATAAATTATTTTTCTTTTAAAAATTTAATTTAAAAATTTATTCTTTTACTGTTCTATCACTTTCGTATTCCGCAATAAATTTTCCAAAACTAAAATATTTTATTGTTGGATAACCTTGTACTTCATATTCTTTACATATTGATTGACTTTTTGTACAATCAACAGCAGAAAACATAACCTAAAACAAACAACAACAACAACAAAAAATGAAAGTTTTCTTTTTTTTTTTGATAGTAGAAATAATTTACTTTTGGATTATCTGTAAATTTGGCTGCAGCACTAGTAAATAAAGGTTTGGCTTTTTTACAATGACCACACCCTAGTAAAAATTACAAACAAATTCATATCATTGTTTGTTTGTTTTTTTAATATCAACTATTTACATGGTGCATAAAACATTATTAAAGCAGATTTCTTTTTCTTTAAAATTGTTTTATAATTTTCTTCATTTAAATGAACAACATCTGTTTCTTGTTCAGACCATTCTGGTTCAGGTGGTGGTGGTTCTTTTGGACTGAAGAGAAATAATTTTCTTTTTGTTCAATAAAATTGAAGAAAATTTCTTACTCTTTTAAAACTTGAACAAGTTTTTCAGCTGTTCTTTCATGTATATCGAAAGCAAATTTTCCATCTCTAGAAATCAAATACAAAAATAAAAAGAACATTTATTTATTATAAAACAAAATAAAAAAAATTATTAATTGAACAGAAGCCCAAAATTATAATACATTCAATAGCAACATGCATAAACTTACTTGAAAATTTTCACTAAAAAAATAGTTATAAATATACAACACACACTTATTAGCAGATGACAACAAAACGAAAGAATTTAAGAAAAATGTTTTTCTTTTAAACATACTTGTTGGAAATCCTTCGATTTTGTATTGTTTTGTTAATTTTGGTGATTTAGTTGCATCGATAGCAGCTATTATAGCATTACTCTAAATATTAAGAAAAGAAAAAGCAATGATTAGAAAACTTATGTGAAACATATTTTGTTTTTTTGTTTAACCTCTTGATCATGCAAATCAACTGATGCTTTAATTAATTCTGGTTTCAAATTTTTACAATGTCCACACCCTGTATAAAAGAAAAATTCATAGACATATTAAAATGAATAAAATCTTCATTTTGATTCAGTTTTTAAGCCCAATAATATTAATTCAAACAATAAATTCAATCATATGAAGATAGATACGGAAGACGTAGAAGAAGAATATCTCTCCCTTTCGATTATCTTGAAGTATGAACTGCTACCTAGCAACAGATTTAGTAGCCCGAGATCTTCCCAACAAGTATGAGTAGATGTACTTTTGGAGAGAAGGTCGACCTGATACAGAATTTTTGTGCTCAATTGCTTGAACTCCTCATACACATAAACTAACTGTAAGACTATATGTATGTCATAATATAATCGGCATGTTATCGGACGGATGATTTATCTAGAGTCATTTCATGGCTGATAGTATTAAAGTTTGAATACAGTACTTTGTAGATACATGTCAAAATACGGCCATCGAAGCAGAAAAGCGAGTCTTTCAACAAAGAACTACAAAAATTTGATTGAAAACTCACATATTAACGCTAACAATCTATTGAAGTGTATCGAGTTTTTATTTTCTGTATATAATTGTTTCTGTATTTCTATTTATGCACTCTTACGGAACCTGTAAAATATATATTCGAATAGGCTTTGTTTTTGAATGTTTCTGCAGTAAACATTCGCTATAGAGTACAAATGTCTTAGCGTGTCTATGTCACGATGAATAAGTGTTTGACTTATATACTTACATGGTGCATAGAACATTGTTAAAATAGGTGATTGAGCATTTTCAGCAATAAATGCATCGAATGTTACATCATCCAAATGAACAATATAACTAGAATTATCATTATCAGTTGGAAAGAATTCTTGTGTAAGTTCTTCTGCCGTTGGTTCTTTTGGTGGTTGTGGACTATGAAATATAATTTTAATTATTTATTATAACAATAAATAATATTTAATTAATCTTACTCTTTAAGCCAATTTATAATATCATCTTTAGTATGACCACCTGTATAATGAAATTTTTTTTCACCTTTTCTAGAAAAAAAAAAGAACAAAATTAATATCCTAGATATTATTTTTAATATTCATACTCAAAATAGATAATAGTAGGAAAACCAGTTATATTGAATAGTTTTCGAATTCCATAATTTCCAGTTTTATCAACATTCATACCAGCTAATTGATATTGACCACGAACATCAGTAGCTGCTTCAGCATAAATTGGTTTTAATCGTTTACAATGTCCACACCATGGTGCATAGAACATAACTAATAATGGTAATGGTTTCTTTAATACTCGTTCAAGATCCTAAATTATTTATTTAATAAAATTTGTCTATTTTAATAAAGTATATTTTACTTTGTGGTTATTTAAATGAACAACATCATGAGCAAGTTCTTCTTCTTCCCATGGCATTTCACCTTTAGGATCAAGCATAAAATTTATCATAGACTAAATAAAAATAATAGTTACAAGAAAATTTAGATAAGTATTGTATTAATACCTTTGCTACAAGTGCACGATCATATACTTTATGGAATTCTCCATCCCTAAAAAACACAAGAAATTTATCATATTTTAATAGATAATTCTATCAATTATAGAAAATCACTTAAACTTAAAGAGACAAAAATTTAGTCAATTAAGATAATAATAAAAGATATTAGTTATAATCGAAGCGTGAAAAGATTGATTTTCTTTGTCAATTAAACTTAATTCACTAATTTTCTAATCCTATGCTATTTACTTTCCTCGATCCATTTTAATAATCTTTAAAACATCAAAGTCTTAGAATATAAATATTTAATTTCACTTGATTATTATTGAAAAAAGAAGTTATTCACAATTTCAAAAATTCTCGCCGTTGAATTTTTCTTTTAGAAACTAACAATTTTCCATTCCTCGAAATAATTTGATTGGAATGAAAAAATACCCCTCGCTTTTCGATATGAAGTGCTGCCTAATGATAGATTTATTAGCCCGATATTTTCTCTACAACTGTTATTAGTTGTAACTCTGAAAAGAGGACTGGTCTGATGCAGAATTCTTGCTTGAGCTTCCCTCACACTAACACATCATAAGAGCATATGTATTTCCCAAACTAATTAGCATGTTATCAACTGGATGATTCAATACAAATAACTCTTAGGTGTTTATGATGATACCGAGGTTTGAACATGGTACTTTGTAGATACGTGTCAAACAATGTAGCCATTCACCCATGACGTACCCCGTGGAGGGTTACAAAATCGCTTACTAATCATAGCAGCCCACCTATATCCCCCTGAAAAGAAGCTTAATTAAATCTATAAAACTGTTGATAATAGTTTATCATTTTCTTCAATCGATTTATTATCATTTAAAAACATAGAACATATTTATATTCTTCCATTTTAAATAATCACTCAAAACGAATGTTTATAAAATGTTTTTTTAAGAATTCATGACGCTTTAAAAGTCGCAAAAAGAAACATGTCATAGCACAGCCGGAAGAAAGTTGTAGGGCAGAGAAACTAGAGCTCGTCGCATGGGATCGAAAACTTTGAATCCGACTAACTCAGATCCCGTTTCTTTTAATCAAAATGCAATTATTTGTAAGAAAGTTCAAAGTATTCTAGAAGGACTAAGCTCAAGTCTGGTCACACCACTAATAACATATTAAATTCAATAAAATCTTCATGTAGATTTTTAAATAGAAAAAAAAATTATTACTAACTTAAAATGTCGTAATTCAAGATTGTTTGCATCAAATTTGAACTTTTTACAAAGTTTTTTTCCTTTTCTACAAAACATAATACAAATAAATTCAAAAATAGATTTTTTTTTCTATATTCTTACTCGCAATTGATATAAACAAGTAAGCCTAGACCTTTTATTTCTGGTTCAACCTGTTTAAATATTTGAAGAACTGATTTTGCACTTTGATCTATATAATAGAAAAGAATAATCATTATATTAACATTCAAAACCAAAAGAAATTCTATATGTAATTACCATTTGGTGAACAAAGTACAAGAACATTTTTATTTTGTTTTAATACTTTTTTAAAATCTTTTTCTTCTATTGGACTTTCATATCCATATGTTAAATAAATAGTCTATATAATAAAACTTTCAACAATAGAAAATATTTTTTTTAAAAAAAATGTATCTTACAGAAAAAATGAGAATAAACGTGCTAATTCTAAACATGATTTCGATGAATAGATTTCATGAAGCATAAAAATAGAAAGCAAGCCAGCGCATCAATCTGTCCATAAAATAATTATACCAATGAAAATATTTCAAATTCAGCGGCCTCTTTATTTTTTATACACTTCTTAATGATTGGTTTATTGCATTGGGAATTTTTTTTGTAATAGGTTCATTTCGTTACTACAACATCTTATTTCACTTTTTATTCTTCAATTTACCAATTTAAGATACGAAAAAAAAAATTCATATAATTTAAAAAAAATAATGAATAAAGATACATGTTCACAAGAATATCTGAATTTAAAAACTGAACTACGTTCATTATTAATTAGTTCCCAACAAGGTTGTAATGAACAACAATTAATGAGGGATTATGATGAATATAATGGACGAAAAGTTCCCTTTCGTGAAATGGGTTATGCAAATTTAATTGAGTTATTAACATCAATGCCTGATGTTGCACGTATTGATCAGACAAGAAGACCCATTATTATACATGGTATTGCTGATCAAAGTACAGTACATATTAAAAAATTTGTTATGGCTCAAAAAAGAAAAAAACCTTCACGAAATGTACGTGGTGGCATGAATAGAAATAATGTAAATACTCGAATAAGTGGACCATTGATGAGTTCAAGAAATCGGCAGGTGAGTGTTATTTGTTTTTATTTATTGAAATTCTTTCATGATATTATAAAATTTATATTTCTTATGACATGTCGAAAATCATTGTGTCAACACTTATATATTAAGTAATGCGAGATTTATTATATCTTCGCAAGACTGATTCATGGCAGCCGATATTAGAGACTAGGAGAAGAAGATTCGTGATTTTCCTTTAAAAGAAAATACAACAAAATTTTCAACTCTACTGGGAAAAAACAAAAATATTTCTTGATTGAAAAGATTGTGTGTATGGCACATTTCTCGCTCGATCTATCCTTAAATTTGCGAGTAAAGCGTGTCTAATAACTATTGCGTATGATTGTAAACGCAAGTTCAATTTAGGTATTCATTAATCATAAACGTTTGACATATGATATGAAAACTAATGTGTTTCTATATAGAAATAATGATCTATTGTCGAATAAGAAGATACGATAATGTTTATTTCATATGAATTTACAATGAAAGTAATTTCATAACTATTGTGATAGATACGACAGATTGTTGACATAGAAAAATAAACAAAACACAATGAATGTCCTTGAAAATCAATGAGAACATGTTTGATGCTAATGGAAAAGTAATATGCTGGTTATCTGAAATTCGCTTTTTGTTTTGGATAGAATGAAGATATAGCTTGTTGAGTTACATTTGAACTTATTCGAACAATGATTTTATAAGTATCAAAAGGATTAATTGATTTGCATTTTTCTCAAACTAACTTTTTCAGTGAAGAAAAAAACCGAACAAAATCTTCTTCGTTGTCCCAGTCTAGTACGCCCCATCGAGCTGAAGTCTTTCTTTGACATTTACCGTACACTATCTTATTTTTATTTAAAAAACTATCGTTCTATTGATTTTTGGGAACTCTGTTCAAGAGAAAAACATGCTTACAGCTTGACTGAAGATAACATCTCGGTGAAAGGAGAACATTTCAGTATCGTTCGGAAACTTTAAGCAAAAGCAGTTTTATCGTATTTCAAATTTTAATCTTGCAGTAACTGTGTCAATAGATTTTTATATGAAAAAAAAATATTAAATAAATTCTAGGGACCAAATAATGGCATTCCATTTCAACCATACAATCAAATAAAAACTGCCCCAAAAAATTACTGGGACGCATATGATAATCAAAATCAATTTATACCTCAACAGAACACTAAAATATCTTATTCTTCTACGTCTGTGATAAATCATTCTATCCAAAATCAAAATTTTTCAAATCTGCCAAATGGTAATGAATAAAAAAAAAATCAATCAATTATTTTTATTTATGATTCTAATTTAGGAACTAGTGGCACATTTACTAAAACAACAACAACAACTAAAATAGTTGCATCATTCCCACCGAAAACAAGTCCAACGCCATCACCAACGTCAATATTACCTTCAGTAACTGAATCTATTGGAGCAACACCAACAATAGATGATAATATATCGACTATAGATGATGATATAAACTATTCAGAAGATGATGAATTAGCTGCTTATGATGCACAACAAGCTGAAAAACTTGGAGAAAAAATAGTTTTTCTTCGAAAACGTATACGACAAGTAAATTTCAATTTGATTTTTTTTTTTGTAAGAAAATTTTTTTTTTCGTATTTTTAGTTATTACTTAAATATACATCGGGTGTATGGCTTTCAAGTGTTCATAAACTCTATCAGGTTATTTTCCTTTTTGTTTTGTTTTTTCTATTCTTTATTAATATAAAAAATTAAAAGGAAGAATAAATAATTGTGTCATTTTGTTGTTTTTTTTTTCTTTAGAAAACTTTCAATGATAATTTGGATCTTGAGGATTTCAAATTAAAAAATTTAATGGCGTTTTTTGATTGTGTTTCTGATTTTGTTAACTCTGAACGTGATCGATTACCTCATTCAACTGATCGAATTTTCTTACTTAAAAAAGAATTTATTGAGGCAACTAAACGAGAACAACAAACATGTAATATTTATTTATTTTTTTTTTTTTTCTTTCAATTCATTTTTTCTATTATTAGTTGGTCAAATCCAATCGACTACTGTTTTATCTAATGTTAATGATAATTCGAATACAATGAGTACAAATCAAAATTCATTTAGACATGTAACAAATGATATAGATCGACCATTAGTCGATTTATCATCATTTGTTTCACTTGATTTTCAATATGAACAATTGAAATATGAATCAAATGAACCATTCGAAGGATTTTTAGCTCATGTAGAAAATCCATGGAATATTCATATTGGAAACATACAATTTATACCAAAACGTAACCGTTTGATGGCTCAATTACAGTAAGTATATTTAAATTTCTATCAAAAATAGGAAAATAATGATGCCTGTCGGATCTAAAACTTTTGAAGTCGGACTCGACTATGCTTAGGAGTAACTCGATAGGCTCTATTTCAGGATGAGTGTGAGTGAAGAAAAAGTGTAGAAGTCATACTCATACTCTATATAGCAAAAATAAAGAAATTTTTCCTTTCGCCCTTTCTACAGCACACTAAAATATGGCATTGAATCATCATCAATTTTTTTTTGTGTATTGATAGAAAATGTAAAGTTCTGCTACAAAATCATTTTTTTTGAGTAGGTTATTCTTTAATTATTACTGATAATAAGGTTGTCTAGTTTTGAACAATCTTTGTTTAAATTTTCAAATAAATAGTTGAATCTATTGTCATATGAATTCATATTATTTCTACTGTTCGATAAATATAGTCTCTTTCTTTGTTTGATTTTTTTTCCATTAAAATTAATAAGAGTTACATTAAATAGACATGTACTGAACTTAAACTTCGACTTGATGTTCAGTATCTGTCCGACCAGCTAAGGTAGTGTCAGGGATATTACTAATTACGCAAGTATTTCTGGACATTGTTGACATGTTTTAGGATGCCTGTAGATGATTGATCATCGAATCTTTGATTCGAATGTGTTTAGATCTATCGTAGTCAAACCTGAAATTCTTTTCTTTTAATTTATTTTTGCTTCGTTTTATTAATTAACTGCAGATAAGATCGAACCTGAATGTTCGAACTCGCTGCAAGTTTAATATTAAGTGCAAGCGTAATGTCAAACTTACATTTTGTGTAACTTAAATTAACTAGACATTGTCTTATTTAGACAAAAAATACGTTAGATTACTTGATATCATATTTCGTAAATGCTAAATTTCCAAAAATTAAACGGAAGAGAATCGAGAGAGTGACTTCTCAAATGTTCGCTTTTCTCCAGTAGACTTTCAATGTGCTATTTTCGAAAATAAAACTCAACCATTCTATTTAAAATCTGATCAACTTTACCAAAAATCTTCCCATGAACATCTGTTGCCCGTCCTATAATCAATGTGTTTTTTTCCTCTTCCATCTGTCTACAGCCAATCGTTCAATGTATTATTTTGTTTTTATCTAGAGAGCATTATAGTCAAATCTCAAATGAATCAATATATGTAATCCCATTTGAACAAATACAACTAAATTTATCTTGTGTTTATTGTTATGATGAAGAAACATATTATCGTTCAACTATCATACAAATAGATCAAATAGCAAATGTCGATATATTAATATTAAAAATCTACCTTGTAGATTATGGTGTAATAATCTCTGATATAAATTATCATATAAGTTCAACAAATTTAAAATTTCTTCATAAAAGTTTTTCAACATTACCAACAGAAATTACTGATTGTCGCTTAGCTAATATTCATTATCCACACACAACTATTCAATGGCATGATGATGCACGTCAATTTATTAATAATTTTATTAATGAAAGTAATTTTTCTGTTCAAATGATAGGTTTTATGAATCCATTGTATTGTATTTATTTATGGCGTGAACAACAATCAATAAATCAATTACTTATTGAACATGGATATGCTATTGACGCTGATGATTCAAAATATTCAAATGTAAGAAAAAGAAAAATATTTTTAATAAGATTTGTTATTGTTTTTTTTTCTTCTTTATAGTTTGAACCAATTTCATCGAATCTGTATGTAGAAATAGTTTGAAGTTTTTTTTATTGAATTTAAATTTATTTATTTAGACAAACAATACCAAATATTCAATCACCTATAAATAATAATTATATTGATGAACGATTATTATTAAGACAACAACATAATAATATTGAGTTTAATATTGAAGAAAATAATTTAAAATATTTTATCATTTCAATTGATCATGCATATTATTTTGTTAAACATCCGTATACAAGAAGACCTTGTTTACCATGTTTTGAAGTAGCAAGATTATTGAATAAAGATGAAATATATGTTTCACAACTGGTAAAATAAATAACAAATTATCTTCTTCTTTTTTTTAAATATTTTTTT